GTTGTGAAGCTAAAAGTATCCGCGTCAAGAATGAAAAACGATTTCGTTCATGTGGCTCCCTCTACTGGCCTTACAGTATGCCATTCGGTCACCCCAATTATTAATGACATTTTGGACTATTGTTTTTCAAAGCTAGAATTGTCTCACACTTTGGGCCACAGCCTCAATATTCTCGGGTGTGCGCACTGTCCGAGCTCTGGGACCACTTCTGTCATCCACTAACATCCCTTTCTCACGAACTTTCCTCACCAATTTGCGTATAGCTCCTTCGGTGCTCCATATTTCTTTTCAAAATTCGTACAGTTTCGGCGACACAGCACTGACTTTGAAAATAAGTTTTTAAAATTTCAAAACGCTCTTCAAGAGAAAACATGTTGTTTCGTGCCGCGGACGGTATGACTAATAAACTGTCAAAATTTCGGGTCTGTAGCTCGTTCGGTGTTGCCATACGACGAAATTAAAAAACGTACCAATAGATGGCCCACCCTATATTTTTGCAATGTTAGCTGAATTTCTTTTCGACGTTGCATAACATTGTCTCTCGAAAATTATCATCATTTTACTTAAAACCGCAAAAATATTTAAATTTTAATTAAATTCTGTATATTTTATCAACACATATGTTAATTTTTCAATTTTTTTTATATTCTTTTGACAAACGAATAAAAAAATATTTAGCAAACTGAAAAATAATTGATAAATTAAATGGATAAATTGTACTTTGGCAAAACAAATAAAAAATGTTTATTAAAAAAAATTAATGAATTATAGAATTCAAAAAATAAATTGTATTACAGTTTGTTCATAGTTGGAAAAAAATTTTTTTTAATGTCAGATTTATTCAAGCACGTGTATTAATAGATTCAAGTGCAATACAGATTATATATTTCGTAACTGCACTTTATTTTGTCTCGTCGGAGATTGTAAGACAAAGGATGATAAAATAAATATCATTTCCTCAACCTTGACTTAATTTCGTGCAATTGTCGACTGTCGACGTTGTTCGCGAGTCGTCGTCGATTTATCTAAACGGCAAAATCCAGCTTCTCGATCGCAGGTAAAAGGGAATGCGCGCTCATATTGCTACGAGTCGATCGAGCGTATACAGCGACGAATTGCGACGAAGCGAACAACGGAATAAAATGGCTAGAAAGGAACGGACCCTTCGGCAATGCACTCGATACCGAAATCGACGATACCATCCATTTCGAAATATCGCCGGTGCAGTTGCCGAGCCAAGTGCGACTGGAATAGGAACTGCTCGGAAAACTATGGCGGAGTATCGTAACGGTGGGACACTTTGTACAGGCATTTGCTCTGCTTTTCGCTATCGTAACGGCAAATAAATATTGCTTCAGTGCCGGGCAAGATTCGACGCGGCTTAACGCGGTGAAATACGGCGTAGACCGGCGTGAGTAAAGCGCAGCGTGCTTTGACATTAACGGCATTACCGCGTTCTCTTTTCATCGCGCACAGCCATTAGTTCACATTAACGTGAGAAGGAATTTCTGTTTCGCGTAATAATTTTTAAAGAGTAGAAAACGCATTATAATACACACTTTTTTGACGATGTTTGCCATACACAAGAACCTGAAAGCTAATATATGATTTTTTTGTAACGAAATTATAAACGTTTGTTTTATAATTTTACCTGCTTACTTCACATTAAATATTTTCAAGTATTATAATAAATATTTCGTAATTACAAATGTATAATGGATTTTATACACGTACCTTTTTTTATATTATTGTACAATATATCCGTAACTCTCTTTACGTTAGTTATGATAATTTTTCTCTTTATTTTTAAATTTTACATATATTTGATATATATTCATTTTCTGCAAGTTCCATATATTTTTATTATTCTTTTACTTAAAACTATAATTTGCATGCGATAATTTGCATATTGAACAGTTTCGTTTTTACATCTATTTGCTGTGCATTTTAATTGTGAAATGTTGAAGCTATGCATAGGCAGTACAAGCGGACGTACAAAGATAAAATCGGGAATAAAGGTAGACGTAGCTAAATTTAAAAGCGAAGTGGAAAATTTCACTAGTGGTGTTTTCTGCTGAGTTCAAAGCTGCAGATCAAACAACTCGAATTACGTGCCGCGACTGGAAGGAAGTTTGGAAAATCATCCGACGAGTGGGCAGTACCCGTATTGTTCTCGTGACCGGTGTTTGCTTAACCCGCTTCATGACTATAACAAGAAGTTATTGTTGCCACGGAGTGCGGAGAATGCAGAACCTTATTGAATTCGTGCAAGGTACAGTGAGAAGTAGCCTTTGCGTATCGTGAGCCGAGTTCGATAGCTTTCATTTCCCAGTGTTCATCGAAAGTTCAGAGAGAATGCTTTATTGGCAAAACAACTCCTTACTGAGGAACGTAAAAGTTTGTCTTAGCAACATGGAAATGGGGTGTACGTACTATATATATACGTAAATTAAATACGTATATTATGTACTATTTATTTTTTGTTATATTATTTATTACGTAGTTGATATTAACAATATTCTAGATTTTTATATATGCTGATATACTCATACCTATATTGCTCTTCACAATCTTTCTCATTTGCTTTTGTATTTTCCGCAACAACAGAAGGGACTAAAAAAATTGTATCGCAGTTATAATTAATTTCACCGTAAAGCAACAACGAATTAATTTCGTAGCAAATAAGAGCGTTTCTAAGGTACCTATACCGACCTTTTTGATCCCGTCACGCTTTCGTTATACCTTCAGCTTCAGCGTACGATTTCCGCAATTTTCACATGTACCTCGTAACAATTTCAATTTCTACCTACGCCGAAGTCCCATTTTCCCCGGCATACAATAGAAAATTTTATCGGACGCGTTCTATCTCGCCCTTCTTGTCCGTGCACGGTCGTTCCATTGAGCTTTCCGATGCCACTCTCTCTCTCCTCCTCGGAAACCTATCCATTCCTTTCTATATCCCATTCAGCTATTCCTATGAGATTATGATAATGACAATCTCTGCAATCGCCGAAACCTCGATTAATAACAAGTCGAGTGATTTATAATAAATTAAATAAAACTCGCGCTGGGATGTAGCGTACAGCTGATAGCATATTAATTACCGTATGTCATTACATTAATTTGAGATATATTTTTCTGAAAATAAAAATTGAAAAATAAATTTATTATTGTTTATATTTAATAATTTATTTTTAATAATATGTATTAATTCATATATTTAGTCACCTGCAAACAAAATGAGTTTTATTCTATTGTCATATACATAAATCACAATCGGAGATTACAATTAAAAATATTATTATTAATATATTCTTTTATAACGAGTAAATATGTCATTAAGTCAATATTGAAAGACATATCTACATATCGTTGGTATTATGCAAAGTAATGTTTGCAATTCACGTTTACAAGATATTAATTAACATTTTGTAAATCAAATGTTATGGTTAACGTGGTCAGAAATACATTAAGCGTTGTTTATATTAACATTTAATCGTTTAAATTAAGCAAACGTGGACAATTATTAGTTTACTTATTGTAGTGCATAAATTTCTAAATATGTCATACTTGTAAAGCGGAGAAAATTGTGCCAATGAAATACGAATTATCAAACAGATTGAAATATCAACAATAAAAACGAATTTGTTGAATATAATATTCGGTCTTAATATTATTATTAGATACGCTTCATTATAGCGCGTTAAAAGACGGAAGATATAAATATATACTTGTATATATATCTGTTAATGCACTTTATGGTTACATAATACGTAGTTTGTAAATTATTTGCTTCGATATAAGATTTCAAAGAGGATAGTGATATTCTTGGCGCGAACCGCATCGTGTTTCGTGAATGCTAAACTCAATTGTGTACAGGAACCGTGAGTAATGGCGTGACGCTTTATAATCCCGGAAGTTTGGGCTTAATCAAGTACTTATTACAATTACCTACGGCATGCGCGCAACCCGGCAACTTTCAGTCCACTCGCAGCTGCAACTTCTGATACCGTAAAGGATTTTGCATCTAATCTCGTTTGAATGTACGCCGTACTGAGTTTCCATATTCATCTAACTTCGACTTTGACTTTAGTGTGAGCCCGCTCAATGTTTCATCAGATAAGATTTGTCCGCAGGTTTATGAACCTTGTTAAGCTTTGCAACACTTTCTTAAACAATATTTTCTCGAATAATTTGCAGTTGCAACAGTGACGCGCGTGAAATTTACAAGTTCACATTAAATGTTTTTATGTGATCAAAATATAAAATATCTGTTTTTCTCAGTATAATTTCGTTCATATAATCTTATGAAGCAAATTTTTTTTATAGAAAACAGACGATAAAATAAGATAGAACAATAAAGAAAAAATTTGTTATGAAATAAAAAAATTTTAAATATATGTACAAAAGTTAATATTGCATTTATAAAATATTATATTAACATTATTAACTTCATTATTATTTTTCTGAAAAACTAATTGTATTAATTATTTGTATATTAATTAAATGAACTGTGTGTCTGTTTATCTGTGTGTGTTACATATCATATTTTCTCATTATCATCTGACCTGTTTTTACATTTGAACTAATTAAAAGCCGTAGATCAAAATTTCACATTATGACTAAAAATGTTTATTGTATTATACTACACCTTGAGGCCACAGTAACTTAAAATCCGCCACTGGTCATCGTATATTGAATTTAAATATAAGACTAATTTGTGCCATGGTCAAAAATTTTATTTTGCAGTAAAAGCTCAGTCATAGCTAATTTAAGAAAATAATTTTTCAATTATAATTTTAACATTTATGCAGATACATATATTTGTCATATTCTTTGATGCTGAAATAATTTCTGAAAATGATTTACTCAAAGTTATTTCAGATATATACAATAGCTTTATCCAATATTTAATTTTTCTCGAATTAAAAAAATATAATATTTGCAACATTATCTTATATCTTCAAACATCACTATTAATATGGCGTATTCTGTTTCAGGTGGTTCTAGTATCGCCAGCGTAGTAGCAGGTAGCAAGCCGACGAGATCCTGGGACAAACCTCAATTCGACGATATTGCACCGCGAAATATCACTGCCATCGTCGGTCAGACGGCGGAGCTGAATTGTTATGTCAAGCATCCGGGCGACCGTGTGGTGAGTAATATTTTCATGCTACATTTGCCACGCATCCGTTGTTTCTCCCCCGTATTGTCAGATAAACGTTCAAGGGTATTCTCGTCGGTGGTATATACCTCTCAATTTTCCCAACAGCATTCGGTGTTTATTTAATTTTTTTTTTAACCATAAAACGATCGTCGCGATTTTACGGTATAAAACGATCTTATAATATTACAAAAGAGCGGAAAGATTTAACTATAAGATTTTACTACATTTTATGTGAAGAAAGCTGTCAAATGCACGATGCTATTCTTCATTTCGTATTTTTTCACACCTTATCACATCGAGCTGCTATTCCGTGTTAGCGTCAATCTCGAAAGCTAATCGCGTTGATTAATGTTAGCGAAATTGTTGGCTTGAAAAATGATAAAATAGTATAGCTCCACAGTATAGCTCCTGCATGACGTTAAGTTGTCGTGCTATTCTGAAATACCCGAAATAAAGATCTCAGATTATGGTACACGCTCTTATGACTCTTACTAGCGCAAATTACAAAAGGACACGCTACAGAAAAATCGATTAAGAAGATACGCGTATGAAGGCTTTTTTCATCGAAACATAACTCTTTTTTAAAACAGTGTTGCAAATAGAAATTTTTTGTTTAATAATATCATATAATTGAGTGTGTAATATCGTATAATCCATTTTTGATGATGTGGCTACTTTCCTGCGCAGCAGGAAAAATAAACAAATTCTTTTTATAATAATTTTTGACGTGAATATACTACATGTAAGATATGTATATGTTTGACAAACATATAATGACACGTAGAATTGAATTATAATCGATACGCAATTTGATTATACCATTTGATTGTATCGAGTATATTTGTTCTCGGACAATGTAATCGGAAAGACAAATATTTAACATACTTCTATTCTGCATATGTTAACAAACATATTTGTTTTCCTAGTTGCAATTAATACCGCGTAATTGCAAAGTCACGTCGCGATTGCGCGCAAAAGCGCGCGATAACTTTGCGCACGTCGGCATAGGAGATCTTCAGAAGAACGTTTATCGTTAGGATGCAAATGGAGCAGCAAAACTTTCAAGTCTCTCGACAAGCGAACAATAACGCTGTCCTGAGACAGTTCGCCTGTAACTGCAAACAGTTACTGGGGAACTCGCGCGATCCAACGTACAGCCCAACACAACGGTGGCGTTTTCACGGGATCCGCGTACAGAATGGCGACGCGATAAAAACGCGCGCGGACATTCTTGCTGCGCTGCATTTACAATAGCCAACAAGAAACGCAGCGAGGAGTTCTCGGTCTGATTAAATGCAAATCTCGCCGTTATTACAGCGCCTGAGCGCGGAAGGCAACGTCGTCCTTTAACATCACTGTTCAATTAACAACCGTGAGACTATTTAGTTTTAAATCTATTTAGTTTGGTAAATAATAATTAATACGCGCCGACTCTTGTCTGACTTGAAGGAAGTGCGATCGATAGATCTCGCATTTTCCATGAGATCTTAATCTTTATGATGACGCATTCATGGCGAATTGCAAAGAAATACTTATGGCATCGTTAAACCTTATCGACTAACCGCGAATTGTTTTAGGTATTATCTTCGACAAGCATTAACGGATCGTTAAACTTTAACGATCCATTAGTACTGACGGTAAAGGGAAAGTCAAACATTGAATTCTTGCTTTGTAGAAAATCCGAGCATTTACAAAGGGATACTATCATTTAATTTAGTTGCTAATTGCTGTTCAAGATTATATGTACTTATTATTAATATTTTAACCAACACGCATAATGGGTTCAGATTATTTACTACACAGAAAAAATGATTTTGCTAAAAAAATCTAAAATTTTGCTGCAGACATATTTGAAAATAATTTCGTTAAACTATCAAGTTATTTTTAGATCCGTATCCAGCAAAAGTTTAGATCTTTTAGTAAAATCGTTTTTTCCGTGTGGGAAACTGCAAAATTGTCAATATGATAACTGCATTTCTCTTGTAACACTCGAAATAATATTTTAGGTATATTCCAGAGATATACGGAAAAAAAAACGGTTTTGCTGGAGTATTTAGAAATATACCTGGATATAAATTTGGAAATAGTTTTGTTAAATCATTAGAATAATTATGTAACAATCATAAGTAATGCTGCAAATAGTTTCGACATTTTAGTAATCAGCTTGATCATCCTACGTAATTATTTTGTACGGTTTAACAAAATTATTTTCAAAATAGTATCTATAGCTGAATTTTTAAATACTTCAGCAAAACTGTTCTTTCAGTGTATATTGAAACAGTGAAATTTTTTTTTATTCTCTTTTTCTTATTAAGTAATTAGATAAAAAATAAAATTATTGAATGAATCAATTTCACAGTTTTATATCCATTAAATAGTTTTGTAACATTACTATCTAAAATCTTTGGAATGAAATCTAATTTTAAAGATCAAGAAAAAATGACAATTGAGCCAGTATTGAAAAAGAGTGGCTCAAATGTCAGTTTTTAAGAATAAGATTTCACTCTTTAGAATTAAATTTCACTTCAAAGATTTTAAAGAAATTATAAACGAATTATAAACGAATTATTTGATATCTTAGAAGCGTTATTTTTTAATTTAATCAAATTTAAAGTTATTTTTCGTATTTGACCTGGCTTTTATTGTAATTTTTACATTAATTTTAACTCTGCAACAAATTTATGGAGAAATCCCGAGTAAATTTATCGAAACACAGTAATTCCGGATGGTTCGCATAGTTCAGTAAGAAGTATTTCTTCCTTCGGAATTGTTTGCAAATAGGAACGAACACCTCAGAGTCGGTTATTGTTTGTTCTTGGATACTCTAGGCTCCGTTTGTGAATTCGTTTGCATCGTCTCAACCTTGTTACCTGTTTGGAAATGTACGTCTGTAGGTTCATTAACACTTTGCGCAACGCGGGTGATAATGAAGTGTGTCCTGATGGAACAATTATCTCTGTGTGTAAATGGAATGTTTGCCCATTTCGTCGTGACAATTTATTGTTATTTCACGCACGCTCAATATCCGTACATCTTCCCCGTATGCATATGTTTATTTATATAAAAACCTACGACGCAATACGAAAGGTTCAAAGAGAATAATTAGGGGTTAATTCATTCCTCCATTATTCCAATTGCCAAAATTTCATTTCTCAGTTGATCTACGCCAATTACATTATCTGACTTTTGTCAAACTGCACGGTTTCTGGAATATTGTACATTGGGTACCAAAGGGATTCGATTTATACGTAAATGTTCGCATAATTATGGGTGTTTATTCGGTTTAGCATATGTAGCGGCGCGATATCAATATGTACATTAAATCCATTAAAGTTACGTAATGAACAATTGAGGTTTAATGTTTATTTTGCACTGCATATTTACGTATTGCATTATGGGGCGTATAATACGATCGCGTTCATCGCGCATTGGATGCGGGTTATATACATTATTAATATTATTCCTTCAATCGCGCGCGATCATCCACGCGTTTTGTAGCGTTTGAGCAAAACTGTTAACACGCCAATCAATCATTAATCTACCATTCTCTAATCACAATAAAATGTTTACCATTTCATCAACTGGTATAAGTTAATGTTTTCGATATTAATGCAAAGCAATGAGTTACACTGATTCTTTGAATTAGAGTTATTAAGTAGCTGTGTGTAATATTTTTTGTGTAAGCATAATACATATGATCGATTTTGTATCCATTTTGAATCAATATTATTCCTTATTTATTTTGTATAAAATTTTAAATAATGAAAGATGTTTTATTTCAAATAAAATTATAATTATATTTTTAGAAACTCTAAGAATTTAATCAAAGATGATTAATACGAGATCGTTATTCTGATTGATGCAAACTTCGCAAGTATAATAAAAAACGATAAAATTTTTTGATATTTTCAGAATATACACTTGCAATCTCAGATTGCAACAAGATAGCAGATAACAATGTTATCAGGAAGTTTTATCATTTTGAAATGGAATGACGTCCCCTTACTTTAACGCATCATTGAGCATCTTCGACTATCTTAACAAGAAAGACGGTCGTTAAAGTCGTCGTTATTCGCTTCTGAAATTCTCAAGAGTGCACGCACCATATTGTGTGTTTGTTCATCCGTAAAGTATACTTACACATATACAAGATAGATATAAAGGTAAAAATCTAGATATTTTTTTTGAAAAATAATTTAAAATTATTCTTTGGTATTTAATTTTGTGACAATAATTTTGTGACGTTCTTTTTCTTTAATTTAGCTTGCAATATTTGAAATATATTTAAAAGAGAAAGAACTTGCACCCAGGAAAAATATTTTTGTTTTGAGAACATTAAAAGCAACTAAATTATATTTTAAATATTTTTTTTTAACAGACAGCTTTGTATGTAAGAAGATTTCGGAAATAGAAAATATCTCAGTAATTGAAGTGAAATATATTTACAGAAGTACAAGTATATGTATAAACGCGTATATGTATTCGATAATCGTCTTAGTAGCGAAGGTTGTCTTTAATTGATCAGACCAAAGAGCCTGAGAGAACAGTAGAAGAAGCAAATATCGCGAAGCAAGGATCGCGAAGGTAGTCACCCCTGACTGCACGTTCTCAGCGGTGGTAAATGAACCGGTCAAGCGTAACTGGCCAAGTGGTTGCCAAGAGAGTATTGGACCGCCCGTCACTATGTCGATGATATACATGTCGCACAGCATACATATAGCTGACACAAACGTCTCGGAGTAGGTATGTTGCCATTACACCGGCGAGTGTGAATATCTGGGGCGAAGATCAAAGGATAAGTGCAAGTACCAAATTAAATAAGCTGGCGAATATATTTCTATTTACAGAGACTAACGGGACGACTTCAGACAGTCTTGCATATTGTATATTTAGTACATTATATTTGGCTACTGCCGTGTACATTTTGAAACATTTCTAAAAATCACGCCACGTAAATTTAAAACACAATGCTGGATATATACGTAAAA